CTCCCCACCCTTGTGGGGTAGCTTCTGCTGAGGGGACTGGGCTGGGCAGACCTCAGGAAATTGTAGGGGTACACCATAGCAGGTGACATGCTTCAGGGTGCTAGTGGCCATTGCTTCACTCAAGACAAAGTGGACACAATGAATCCAACTCTAACATTCCCTACTTCCAAATTAGTTCCTTGTAATTTAACCCCGTTCTCCAATATGGTGAGGATTTAGCTTTGCAGGAATGTATAAACAAGTGAAAGTTGTCCATTTGGTCAGAAGTTCTGCAACATCATGGCACTGTGGACCAAGTTTGTTCATGCACCACTACGAAATAGAATGGCTTTTGAGGAAGCATTGTTTGGATAAAAAGACCTACAACAAGTCCTATGAAATATGTAGCCACCCCACCCCATCCATGAAGAGTCACTGTTTTAGGACATCCCTTTCCTGCCTGTTCCATCCCCTAGTCTGAGAAACAGAAACACAACAAAGTCTCCTAGGGAGAAATCCAAGGAGTGCAGCACTATTATTTTCCCAAAGTAAATGGCCAAAGACTGGAAGTACCATTCACTTCAAAGGACATCCCACTGCACTCATACCCGTGGAACCCAAGAAGAATGATGGACTGGAGCAGGTGGCTTCCATACATACAGCCCTTTGGAATGCAGTACATCTGTTGGTGATCTTGTCTGAGTGGTTTTTCGTGTGCATGTGTGTGAGAAAGAATTTCTGACCTCTAACAGATACAGGCTTAAATTCTGCTCTGCAACGAAAATGAGTGTTGTCTCTCATGAACAAAATATCCTGGAGAAACAGCGGTTAAGGTATACATGAATACCTCCTTTCCAATTCAGTTGGTGAAAAAGATGAAATAACTACACAGCTGTAATATGTCACCTACACATTTTGCTCTTTCCTTTCTGAAATGTAAAAATGATGAGATGATGGCTGATTTGATAACAGATTCGTAAAGCCTTATGACCTAAAACTCCAGGAATGTCTCCCTTGTTAGATCCTCCAAATGATGCCAATCAGCTGTTGAGAGGGGCACAGAGAACAAGGAGGCAAAATGGAAGCAACTTCCTGCCCTGAACAGCTAAACATCAGTACGAAGAGGTATTACCCTCCTTCTCCCAGCTGCCATTCAGGACCACTCAGGGACCATCTTGCCCTAAGAAGAGGGGAGAGAAAAGGCAGGAGAACCTAATGAACAGAAGCTGCCATCATGGTGCTACTCAAGAACCAAGAGGCCTCCCTCAATTGTCATTACAGCTGCCACCATCTTGCCCTGATGGAAGAAAATATCTGATTTTCAGTAATAATACTAACAGTAAGAATGATAACAACAATAATTACAACATTAATTTTCCTGTAGCTTGTTTTGCTCATTCATTAAGGGCTGTTTAAATATTTCTTTTATGAAAACTGCCTTATCGGGTTCATCTCAAATCAATCAGTCAATCAATCAATATGAATGCAAAATCCCTTGTACTGGTTTGTGCATGTGCTTCTTCATCCAGTTCAAACCAGGGGCTTCTGCATGTGCAATCCATTTGGGTCAAGTATGTTTAAAATTCAGAATAAGAAAACAGATTTTTGGAAATGAGGTCCTTCAACAACAACAACAACAACAACAACAACAACTGACCCCAATATTTATCAGTACTGCCTTCTTACACTGCCAATTCACATGGTGCATTCTCTATATTGTACTGGACATAAGGATGCCTAGGGTAGATCACATGCCTAATAGTAGAAATTACTATACGAATGGGCTCAAGTATAGCTTCACTGAACCCCTGTAGCAATTCCCATTAGTCCTTAACTTTGGTTGTGTTTGCATAACATGGCAAACAACTCTGCATGGTTACCATGGTTCATGGGTTTTTACCATGATCTACCTGACAGACAATTAAGTGGTTTTTATTTTATTGTGGTTTCCGTCCTCTCTGCTCAGCCCTCCTGTTGTTGGCATGTATTCTATCAGCCACTGTGCCTGAAATTCAATCCCAAGGCGCATTGCTCCTTGTCTCTACCTCCTGGCTCTTCCCCATTGGTCTATACATAGAAGCTGGATGGCTGGATCATCTCCTGCAGTTGCCACTCCTTCCAGAGAACTCTGTGGTAGTTGTATACCTGGACCACGGAAACCATGACAACACATGGTTCAGGCAACACAAGCCATGGTGGTCTGAAGAAATCATAGAACCATTGTTTCAAACTTAACCCGTTGAAATACCATGACTGAATTTGGACAAAGGCAGAGCAACAATGATGAAAAACCACCATGGCTTGTCATGTTGACTGAATCCATACATGACCTGTGCTCAGTAGGGCTCTCTTCCCTGTATCAAAGAGTGGCGAAAAATAGTGTCAGTTTCTCCATTTCCTTCATCTCTAGACCTTCTGCTCTCCAGTAAAACTGGAGAAAGTTGGGAGAAAGTCATGCCCATACCTCCAGTGCTAAATGGACCCAGAGAGGTCCGCCTGGCACCGTCGTTATTTGTTTTTCGGCACCAGGCGAAGACCTTTTTATTTAAACGTCATTTTAATTGTTAATATTATTTATTTTATATCTCTGGCCAGGTCGTCTCAAATTATATTGTTTTTATATTATGATTTTTTATTTATTGTTGTGAGCTGCCCCGAGGCTTCGGCGAATGGGGCGGCATAGAAGCTTCCTAAATAAATAAATAAATAAATTCTTAACTATCCCTTTGTCTGCTTTTCCAGTGAAACTGGCTGCACTGAATCAGCCTTGTCAACTTTCTTGGAAAGTAGAGGAATGACGGAAATAGAAGCAGCATGGGTCAGAACAGCACCTAAGGGGTGTAACTTCTTGCAAATGTTGTCATAGAAAAATATGGGAAAACCCAGCTGACCTAAAATGTGCATTTCCCCCATCCAACTGCTCAGCCCTGCTGTGACAGGAAGGCCACTGAGCCGATCGATGCTAGCGGCTTCCTTACCATTGCCATGGCCACCAATAGTATGACTGCATTGCTGACGGAGGCCAACCTATATAGGAATTTGTTTGCAGGTTTGTAGAATGGTGGTACTAGGACCAAGATTTATAAAAACAGCAGTGGGACACCAGACATTACAATATTCAAATTCTGTATATAATGATTAACTTAGACAGTTTTTCAATCCTTTAGAATGCTCTTTCTTGTACATTTCTATATGAGTAATTGGACACTTTTAAAGTACTGTGTAAAAGGTCATTTCAATAGTAGACTTTGCAGTGCATCCAATATAAGACTTCGTAGTGAGCACCATCCTGTTTTCGAGGAGCAGTCTTGATTGAACTGACCTTTATGCTGTATTGGATTTACAGAAATCCTATACAGCTAGGATCACCTGGAGATCACATCTGTCTCTTTCTTATGTAAGTTTCTTTACCATTTTTAGTGAACTAGTAAAGTAGTTAACAAAATAAGAATATAACCATAAAGCATAATCATTCAGATATAGTTAAACAATCCACTGGTAAATAATAAAAGTGAAACTATTCTGGCTGGGGTCACACCTCCTTGAAACCCTACCTGAAGAGATGGGCCTTAAATGGATGTCTGGAAATCAGGATAGGAATTGCCCAAAGTCAACAGGGAGACTCTTCTACTGAGAACACACACACACCCGCACACCCGCACAGTACGCTGTGTTGTCACTGCTGAAACTGCTGATTGCTACCCAAAGGGCTCCACTTTTCTCCAAACAGAAACAACTTGGAATTTTGCCAGTTATGCAGTTCATGCATCACCTATGAAAATCAATGAAAATGAAATGTCCTTCAAGGGCAGGATGTGATCTCTTAAATGCATTCATGTCTTCTAATTAGGTTTTGCAGAGAGGGTTTTTCAAGACACCCACCAGTTTCCAATTAGTGAGAACTATTTCAATGCTTTTAAAAAAATAAACTAAAACTGAAACTTAAGTACATGCACACGACGGGGCTTTGATAGGTTGTTCTGCTTGAAAGGATTTTCCTTGTTTGTTTATTTTTCTAAAAGTTTAACTTTTTAATAAAGATCCTTTACTGAATAAGGAGGTTTAATTACATGAGCACACTTTCCAATAGGAAGGCTGACTCAGTGTTATTCCTGATGCAATGTGAGCAAAATCAGCAAAACACTGTGGCAGAGAAAACAAACAGAATAGCGTAGCAATTTCAGGGGCATACTATAAACCAGATGGTTTTTTTTAAAGTACTCAGATCAAACCTTAAATCCCATGTGCATCCCAGTAAACATGATTTCATTTACCGTACCTACTATAGAACAATGTATAATGCAAAGCATTATAATATATAGTATGTGATCAGCAGCACAAATTTACATTTTTAGCCTTATGCAATGGAATAGAATTTCTTTGGATAAACGATGTTTCTTTGAGCAAATGACACTCTTTCACATGCCTCTAAGTCTTGTTGCTTCTCATATCATTTATCTCTAAAACTACATGTGTATCAAGGCTTTTCAAAGACTGCATCTGTTGTGAGGACACTGATGTTCCTTATTTAAAAAAGAATTCCATTTACTTAATCAGTTAATAAGACAACTCAAGAAAGATAATGATGGGCTAGGCAGATGTGATCTCCTAGGCAATATGGAGTAAGCTCCTCATTCTGTGAGAGAGAAAGAGTAGACAATTCCCCAATATGATCCTGCTGGAGAGGCCGAGACTTAGGAAGGGCGCTTTTGATCAGTCAGTCCTTTTATTCATATACCACTTTTCCGTTTACTAGGGATATCTGGGCAATGTAAAATCTCTTTCATCTGCACTTGAAGATCGTTGGATGACTTTTGTTCTGTCACCTGCTCATTGAGGCAACTGGATTCCACAAAAATTTGTAAACATATTTACAAATGCCTCCAAAATATTCAAATTCTCAAAAATGGAAGGCTCTTTCTAGTAATACTGAGTAGAACATACAAGACAAATGCAGTTTGATTCAATACTGGCTGCCATATAGCATTCAGGAAAACATGGACAGATTCATACCAACTTACCATGTTTGTGTCTGTCACTTCTACTGCAGGGCTTCCACTTATGTCCTCCAACCAGGCATTAAATCCTGTTGGGTCTATGAAGAAAGAGACATGATTGTTAAACGTCTGCTCTATGCACTGGTGATTAGAACACACAAAACTCAAGAGAAAAGAACAGTGCAAGTTAAAGGCAGTCAACATTACTAATATTAGCATCCAATCTGACAAAATGGGCTGGATCCAAAGCGCCGCACCTGTTCCTCAGGAGACTTTGGGTTCACGTTTCTCAAAAAGGAGCCCTTTCAATTCAACCTTCTGCTCAAACGAAAAACAATTTCAAAGCCAAATTCATGACGTGGTATGGGATTTTTTTCTGAACTCTAGAATGGACAGAAACCCTGCATCTCTTTTGGAAGATGATCTCCTTATCTACTGGACCTTCCACTAGGACACATCAGCTGTTGATACCACACATGAAAACAATTACTTCTTTAATCTGTATCCTTCTCTTGTATACATCTTTCCAATCTGAAGTTCTCAGTTGATCCAAAAATGAGGCTCTTAAAGCAGGGATTTTTCATTGTCATCATTTATTTATTTAAAGTTTTTATATGCCATCCCCTTGCTCTATAGCCTTGGGACGGCTCACAGAAATAAATAAATACAATATAAATAACAAGTTACAATTAAAACCCGAAACACCCTGGCTGCACAATTAAAACCTATAAATATTAAACATTGTTAAAATATTGTTTGAATAAAAAGGTCATTAATTTATTACATGTATATCCTGGCTTTTTATTTCTCACAAGGAACCCAAAGCAGCTTACTTCTGCTTTGTGTCTTCTTCTCTCCATGTTATCCTCTCAAGTAGATGAGGCTGAGGATCAGGGACTACCTCAAAGTTACCCAGTGAGCGTCATACGTAACTGAGGACTAGAACCTGGAGCTCCCAAGTCCCAGTCCAACACTCTAACCACTATATCACACGGACTCTCTTCGGTCAGCATCTGTATTCTTTTGGGCACTTTATTTTGGATATAAAGCAGAAAACAATGGAAACATGCCACATTCTTGATGTAAAGGCATCATGTTAATCAAGGAATCAATTATTGTGACACCTTTTTCACTAATAAGCTTGGAGCCCTGATAAAATGTGAGCCTGATCTGGCTGGCATTTGCCCTTTGTCTGTCGCTGCTGTAGCAGAAGGAGCATCACAGTGGCTGAACATGGATAGCACACCATATGGCCATTATTTCGTACCTCTACTTTACCATTCTTTTCTAAAGACTTACAGACAACAAATATTTGCATAGTAAGGAAGGACAAGGAAGCATACCGAATTCAGTGTTCGGGTAAACATTTTTTTATATTCCACCCTGGGACGTAGAATCCAAACTCTGAATATGTTACATTCAACACTGCAGGGCAAATGAGCATCAGTTCATGCCCTTAATGTTAATTCTGTCACCCTTTTTTCATCTGGTTGTGTCTCAGGACCATTCCATGAGGCCTAGTTCCGTCAATCAGCACTCATCGCCAGGGCAGCCTTTGACCCGCCTGTGTGCTTGCTGACTTCACTTAAGCTGAGCGCGCGGCTGACTTTTTTGCTTGCTTTGATTCACTGATGATTTCAGCCCTGAATAGCACTTTGGATGGTTGATGGAACAGCAACAATCAGAGGGGATGGGCGGCGGGTGTCTGTGTGTTGCGAGGTGGTGGTTGGGAATGCAACAGAAGGGAAACAAAGTTGAGAGAACAGTCCATCCTCTGAAAGGCAAAGAGGGCTCCAAAGGGAGGAGGAGGAGATGGGCCTGTTGGAGGAGGCCAGTTCTCAGCCCTATCTGGCCGGCAAAGGCAACACTGCCTTCTGGTTAACATGGGAGACTGGTCAGTTTCTACTTTCCTACCCTTGCAATAAACAGGTCCTCTTCATTAATCAGAAATCAGATTTATTCGCTCCAATCCGATATTAAAATATGACAGTACTATTGATTATAAAGAGGGATGTTAGAAGCGTGATATCTGGAATTTGTCCTGACTTCCAGTATTAATCCTTGTGGGGTCCTAAGGATACTTACGCATTTCCCCCCTCAAATCTCATGGAAGCACAAGTGTTTTCCTTTTAAAATACTGCATGGTTAGCAGCCACCCTTCAGAACTGCTGTAGTGCTATAAAGTGGCCATTGTATAGTTAAATGAGAGTTTCCACCACGTCGGGAACTGCAAATGTTCTGAAGAGGCACTTTTTCATTTCTTTATTAACTCTGATTGTGGTTCATTTGACCCCAGTGCCATCTAAATATTTTTTTTTGAGTGGGATGTTTTAAAGCATCATTAAATAACCAGCTGCTTTGGCATAAGAGAATACACGAAGCATGAAGTGGTACAAGGGAATGTTTGGCTTTTGAACTGTTTATACTCTTTGGGTTTACGTATGACACCCACAATGTGGGGGAATTAAGCAGGTAGAGATATATTTACAGCTTCTATAACTAGGGCTCAATCTTATCAACTATTTCAGTGGAAAGGCTCAACCCTAGAACAGATGTGCTCAGACTGGATAAAAATGTTCTTAGGCAGGTGCAGAGTGCATTTTCCTTAAGATTTAGTAACTGGAAGGAGTCCTCACACAACAGAAATTATGAAGAAAGTACTTTCATATTTTCCCTCTTGGATGCACACCTTAATGTGATGAGGGGGTCTGAAAATGTCAGAGAAACCAAGAAAAATGCCACCAGGAAGCCAGTCTTCTAGCAGGGGCACCCAAGGCAAAATGGTCAAAGCTGAGGCATCCGACCAAGATGCACCCACCCTCTCCAAGAGTAACAGCTGTCTCTGCAGAAGAGCGTAGGCATCTCTAACAGAGATTGGTGCTCAGAAACTCCAGAAGGGCAGCCGCTGAAGGTGACACTGGCACAGGATCTTCCGCAGTGAAGGTCAACGCTGGTTAGTATAGCACAGAAATGCTGATGGTAACTCACTTCTGAACATCCTTACCTTGTAAACCCTATGATGAAACAGTCTAAAATGAAACAGGAGGCAGTGCCAGAAGATAAGATACCCAGGTTGGAAGGCACACAGCCAATTGCTGGGGAACAGCAGAGAATGAGTATGATTAGCACTGTTGCTAATGATGCAACTAGGTCAAAGCCAGAAGAAAGTCTAGTGGCTGACATGAACAGAGACAAAAGGACGGCTAATACAGATCACAAATGGACTATGTAATTGGACATACAGGATGGAGATTCAGTATTCTTATTGCCTGAGTAAGTCCAGGAGCAGAGTGTGATAGTGACCACAAACACTCCCTCCCTCCCTCCCTCCCTCCCTCCCTCCCTCCCTCTCTCTCTCTCTCTCTCTCTCTCTCTCTCTATATATATATATATATATATAAAATCAGATTAAAACTGAAAAAGATCACTAACAGAAGCATAGTTGCAACTTGAATAACACTCCTGAGAAGCTTCTGCTGGTGGTAAAGAAATGAAATTAATAAATAATATAGAGTAGCTTATTGAACAGATTATTGAATTCAATTGACCATGAGCCAGAAGAACTGTGGACTGAAACCAGAGACATTATTAGGGAGGAATGCCAAAAAGACAATTCCTATATCAGAAAGAGAGGGGGGAAGCCTAGATGGATGAAAGAAGAAACATGATTGATAAGGATAGCTGAGAAGCAAACACAAAAGGTGACAGAAATAGGGGCAGTGGCTATCACATAGGGACAAAAAGATCGATTACAGTGGGAAATGCAAAGAAAGGGACAATAATAAGAGAAGAGGAAAAACAATAGACCTCATCCAGAAGATCCAAGAAATCAATCGGGAATTCAAACCCAGATTAGGAATGCTGAAAGACAAAATAAGGAGAAATATTATCTGACCAGAATAAAATAAAGAGAAGGTGGGAAGAATACATGAAGGAACTTTACAGAAGATATTAAAAGAAGACAGACTCCTTCAAGGAGTAATCCTATGAGGAAGAACCTGTAATATTAAAAAGTGAAGTGAAAGCTGCTCTGGAAGCACTTGGAAGGAATAAAGTATGCAGCATAGACGGGGTACCAACAGAATTTTTCCAAGTGGTAGAGAATGAATGAATTGGTGTGAATCCTAATAAACAACATGCCAAGAAATATGGCAAATAAAACGATGGCCCACAGGGTCAATATATAATTGTGAATAATTTTCCATAGCTTGGCTCAGTCATCAATACAAAGGGAAACTGCTGCCATGAAATTCAGTAACAGACTTGAAAGGAGAGCAATGAAGGAAACAGGAAAAAACATCAAGTGGAAGGATGCTTCACTAGAGACCAAGGCCAAGATAATCTGAACTCGTATTGTATTCCTGATCTCTCTGAATGGATGTGGAGGCTGGACAGTGAACAAAGCTGACAGGAAGAAAATTGATGCGTTTGAAACCTGGTTCTGGAGGAGAGCTTTGCAAATAACTTGAACCAACAGAAAGATGAGCAAGTGAATCCTAGATCAAATCAAACCAGAACTTTCCCTGAAATCAAAAATAGTGAGCTGTCATACTTCAGGCACTCTTTGAGCAGACAAGACTGACTGCAGGAGACAATAATGCTAGGGAAAGTTGAAGGAAGAAGAAGGGGAAGACCTATTTTTAGATGAAATGATTCCATAAAGGCACCCACAGTTTATAAGAGCTCAGCAGGACTGTTCCTATTTGGGATGGTATTCATTCCTACAGTTGCAACAAGATTGAGAAGACTTCATAGCACAAAGCAACAGCCTCTTTCATATCAGAGGATTGTGGGTTTTATTTTTAAATTAGATTTCTGGCATATCTTTTTATTAAGAAATGAAACACTGAGACAGGAAGCATTATTTCAACAGATGTTAGAGAGAGATTATAATTCTTTTAGATTACAAAGATGCTTTGATGGCCATACTAGCCAGTATGCTTAAAGTAGGAATCAAATAGAAATGAGTTAATTTTAAATCCATCATGTGCAAACTGGCTCAATGGAAAAAAGGAAATTTTGTTGTTGCTGTTTAGCGAAGTTGCATCTGACCCATCGCTGCCCCATGGACATCATTCCTCCAGGCTCTCCTGTCCTC